TGCCAGGAAAGGACTCAAAGGAAGATGAGTCTTTTGGGCTGCTGATCATCTCAAGAGCTCTGAGGTGTCTCATTGGGTATGAAATGAGATGATCAATAACAAGTAAGAGTGAGATGAGGTTTGGGTTGGAGCAGCTTCTTCCACCTTCTCACATATGTGACTTTGCATTCCTGACATGCTTCATTTTGGATCTCACATGTCAGGATCATTTTTCTCTGACTCGAGTTATTCTGAGGAGCATTTGTAAGACTTCATACTACACCTTTGGCAAAACCTCATCTCTCTTCTGTTTCACCTGGGTGAATGGTAGTTACTCAGCCTTCACATGCTGATTTTCTTCCAAGGAGTTTGTAAGTAATAACTCAGGGATCCTTTTGTAACCTGCCAGCAAGCCAATACAAAATGTTTGCATATAAAGCAGGTATGATCCCAGGGGGACAACAAAAATTCTTGTGTAGTAATGTTATTCTTTTCACCGGCCTCCACAGCACACCAAGCTGATTCATAGAATACAATACAACAGTTTGGGTTGGAAGGGTCCTCCAAATACCATCTAGTCCTCTCCCCCCTGCAGTGAGCAGGGATATTTTCAACTGGACCAGGTGGCTCAGAGCCCTGTCCAACATGGCTGTGAATGTTTCCAGGGATGGGATATCCACCACCTCCCTGGGAAACCTGTGCTAGTTACTCACCACCCTCACTGTAAAAAAGATTCTTCTTTATATCTAGTCTGAATCTACCCTCTTTTAGTTTAAAACCATGACTTGACCTATCGCAAGGCCCTACTAAAATGTCTGTCCCTATCTGTATTGGGTTTGTGTGGCAATGTTTTCATAGTGAGGGGCTACAGTGGTGGCTTCTGTGAGGAGCCCTGGGAGCTTCCCCTGTGTCTGACAGAGCCAATTCAAACCAGATCTGAGATGGCTGCTGGGCAAGGCTGAGCCCATCAGTGGTAGTGGCAGCACCTCTGGGATAACAGATTTTAGAAGGGGAGAAAAGTTACTGAGCAGAAGCAATTAGAACCAGACTAGAGAGGAGTGAAAAATGTGTGAGAGGAACAGCCCTGCAGACCCAAAGGTTAGTGCAGAAGGAGGGGAAGGAGGTGCTCCAAGTGTCAGAGCAGAGATTGGAGCCCATGGTGCAGGCCATGGTGAGCACCCTGGCTGCACAGAGCAGTATTCAGAAGTCTCACCTGGCCTGTAGCTATTACCCCAGAGCAGGACACAAATGCTGCCCTGTATAGGTTTGCTTTGTCTAGAAGTTTAGGAGACTCTGTGAGCTCACAGATGACACTGGCTGTTTTTCTGTTAGGAAGTGAACAGTCTCAATGCAGAATAATTCAAGTGCCTATAGTTAGGTGCTTATCACACTTTAGGTACCCTAGGATGTCTGACCTGATCCCAGGATGGCCCTTGTGTTACATGGGGAAACCCTATGGCACAAAGGAGTCAGGAATAAAGAAGGTTAAGCTGAAAAAAATAGTTGCAGTGTGGGAGAAGATGTCTTAATTTTTGACTGTGTTTCTCACTATCCAAGTCTGTTTTAATTTGTAATAAATTACTTTTCCCTGAGTGGAATCTGTTTTGCTAATGATGGTAATGAGCAAGTGATTTGTGTTCATTTCAACCCTTGAGCTCTTTCATCTTATTTTCTGCCTCAGTCTTGTTGAGCGGGCATGTGATCGAAAACAGATTTACACTGTACTTTACACTTGCATTTAATTGTAACACAATATACTCCACCTGTGGCTGATCCATGGCATGTAAGAACGTCACAACTAATAACTAATAGCAATAGGGCTGTATTTTAAATTATAGAAGCCATTTGGCTGCTGCTTGTTGTTCAACCTCAGCATTGCTAATGCCCTTGTCACTTTAAAAAGACGCTCACATAGAAATAAATGTATTTCATACATTCTCACTGTTACTAATCTTGCCTTCTTCCTCCACTGATGTTATTATCATGTGAGGTCTAATTTTGATAGCAATCTCCAAAAGCCCCTGTCAGTTTACTGTCTATTATGTGCCAGTCCTACACCTGTGGTGCTATATAAATGCTAATAATACATCAATATGTTCATTCTTTGTGAGTTCTGTAGGTGGAATTCCATCTGGTTTGTATATGTCAATTCAGATGCTGGTGTGAAATGTCATTGCTGTTCAGAATTTGTGATGGTTTATGAGCAGTTGGGAAATGACAGAAAAGAAATCACAGGACTGGACCTGCTTATCATTTGAACAAAGACATCCAGCTCTGTGCTTAAGACAGCGGCTGTGACTTTATTGGGTGTGGAATACCCAAGTGGTTTAATTTTTCTCTGAAAAGCCCTAGTTTAAGTAATTAGGACATTAACCAGTCTTTCCTGCTTTTTCTGAATATTTTCAGCTCGTCGTAATGTATTTAAGAAAGTTTTGATACTCAGAGTACTGACATTTCTTTCACAAACAGTACTTTGGGCTTTGGGAATGAGTGGTAGGAATTTGGAGCATGCCCATGTTCCCAAAAAAGCTTTCCTGCCTTCAGCCATATAACTGGTCTCAAATGGGCAGGTCCTCAGCTCCAGAAAGATCAGTCTTAGCTTCCATGTACCCATGAAGGAATTCGGCAGCCGGGAGTGATGTAAGCAGGTCAGAGTAAGTTTATGCAGAATGTGATGATTCTGGGAACATATCTTTTGACTATTCCCTGGGCTGCAGTTGTTTCCTTCCCCATGAGATACTGATGGATTCAACTAAATTAGACGAGGAAAACTTGATCTTAAGAACCTTGTAATCTTAAGTGCAAGTAGCTAGAGAATATAGGAAATAAATTTGCAACTTTTCCTAGTTGCAAATTGAATTATGTCTGGCCAATCTAAATTATATTCTCAGGTGCTCTAAGTATACATTCCTTGCTAAGGATTAATGTTGCCATGGATTAAAAAGGGAAGCAATTCAGTGTTTTGTTGGTAAAGAGGAAATAAGTTTTCCTTTAATTTCATCTCTTGATGGCCACTTTAATTTCATCTCTTGGCCACTTCCACTGGAACAGGTTGTGAACAAGCCTAAATCAGGAACTTTCAAAACCAGAAAGTCTTGATAATTAGTAGAAATTAAGATCTTAAATACTACATTGCTTGGTGCACAGCCTGGATACATATTTGTTACAGAGATACACACCCAGCTACACAGGGGCTGTCTGGTGGGGTGAGACTAAGAAATGGAAGAGTTTAATTGCATTTGGAAAACTGTTTTATCACCACCACCCAGGGACTGAGGCTGCTTAGGCAGCATGAGAACTGAGAAGCAAAGAAGGCAGGGACAGCCCTGGGGCTGCGGGTGGAAGGAGGAGGAGGACGAGGAGGAGGAGGAAGGCAGCTGCTTGCCAGCCCCCAGAGCCTGCCAAGTGCCGGCCAGTGTGACAGCATGGCCGGGAGCAGGAGCAAGGCTTCCCTCCGTGCGTGGCTCGTGTGCCCTGGGCTGCTCGGCTGTTTCTTGCTGGGCTTTCTTACAGGTGAGTGCAGAGACCCAGGGGCTCAGCCCCCAGCTTCCCTCCCCTGCACACACCTGTGTGCAGCCCCTGTTGGGATTGACTCACCAGCAGGGAGCTTATGCTGCTCTTCAGAGGCATGATAAAGTATTTGTCCCACTGCTTTTCTAAGCTTTTCTGTCCAGCACTTTCAGTCTTCAGGGAGTGAGGAACAGAACAGCTCTGTGCTTCAGCTCAGGACAAGCCCTGGTGAGCTGACAGCTTCCCAAAAGAGGCTGCCAGGCATTCAAAGAGAAGAAATTAGTACAAGAGTTTGAGACTTCAGCGATTGCAAAATCTCCCAGATTTTTTTTTAATTTTTATTTCCTGTTTTTTACTGAAGATATTTTTAAATGCTACTATTCTGTTGCTATTTTAATGAATGAAGAGGAGGAGTTTGACTGACAGCCAAGTTACTGAAGTTTTCATTATGCACAATGAACTTTACTAGGGATTCTTTTCTGAAGTCACTTGCAGCATTTGATTTCAAATTGAAATTGCACGTCCTTTTTAAACTTGTGTTGTAACACAAACCCAACACTAAAGCTTGAAAGAAAAATCCATGAGGGCTATTAAGTATGTAAAATATTAGTTTCATTTTGGAGATCCTTGAGCTGCTAATTTCTGGTGCTTGTGCTATGTTTATACATTTCCCTGAACATCATCTTTTGGCCCAGCTCCAAAACATGATACTGGGCAAGATGTACTTTTAGTCTGATCAAGCATCACTGTTCAGTTCAGAGTGTTACTACAACTGTATTTAAGTGTAACAGGTCATATATACTGTGCATGTAACAGCACATGGATTTATCTTTCTTATGAAAATTTTCCCACTTTGGGGTTGTCTAAGTATAATAATAAAAGGATATTTTTGTTGTTGCTGTTTTTTTTTCTTAAGACAAACTCATACAGTTGATATACCCTCTCCTACTACTATTTATGGCCACTGAATAAACATTTTAAAACTGGCTTGGGCAACAGTTAACTTTATTCTTTTAATTATTAAGTAGACTAACCCCAGCCTTCCCCAAGTCTGTAACTATTACAGTGTTGGCAGTGTGGCTGTTAAGTCCTAGACCTTCACTTTATCTGCTTACACATCTATTTTAAAATATATGCATAAATTAAATAAACTAATTTCATCATGAGTGTCAGGAGTTTGAACCTCACACTACAAACAGTTAATTGAGAATTTAAACTATAGTTTAAAATTAATGAGAGATTAATCTACCTTAAAAAGGGGATTTACCAGGGATTTAGGTTTTACTCTTTTCATTGTGTCACTTTTAGGAATTTCAGTCAATGAAATATATTTTACTTTTCTGCTTGAGCCCTCAGACACTGGCAGAGGGTGCTCTAAGCCCTCTTCATCCTTGTTGTTTTAACTGATTAGTACCACAGGCTCAAACATGCTCAAACATGTGAGAAAATTCTTGCTAAGTGGGAAACTTTTCAAATGTGTTTCAGGGTGGTTTACAAAACTGACTGAGAAAAACCCCAACTCTTCAGAAGTGCATCAAAATGTGAGACAGAAACTTGTGGCTGAAATGAAAGCAGAGAACATCAGGAAATTTCTTCGGTAAGCTTTGTGCATTGTTTTTTGAACAATTTTATCAGTCAAAAAAGCCAGAAAGTGATAACATCAGCTCCAAGGAAGGGCCTCTAAAAGCAGAGCTTTTAAGATGCTTTAGAATGGTTTAGTTGGTATGAAATGTCTGAGGGAAGAAGGGAAAGGCTTACAACTCTTCTGTTCCCCCCTCCCCATTTTTGAAGTTGTGTTTTTGAAGTGGTTGTGCAGTCAAGTGTGCTTCCCTCAGCTGCATTACTGCCAGTGCTTACCAGTCTTCATGATTTCCCATCATCATGATTTAATGAAGTGTGCCTTTTTTTTATCTTCACAAATACAAATATCTGAAGCTCTAACCTCAGATAACTGCTTCCTTTCAGACTGAGATGATTTTACTCTGTTTTGAATACAATGATTGACATGAATTACATCTGACTGATCATGTGTTTAGTGTCTATTTAAACTTTCAGTCTGAGCAGAAAACTAATGGATTAAAAACTAATGCTACAAATTTGCATAGCACTGAGTTGCATGCATACTTACAATTTATAATTCCTTTAGTGTGACCATATTGGATAATGTGCTGTTAATTGGGAGCTCTGACATCCCATTATACCCTGTCTTCTCAGATAAAGGGCTCTGTCCATGGTCAGTGTGCATGTATGGTTGGTTAAGGCTTGCATGATGTTAGTAAATATACTTTTTTGCATTGTAGTGCACCCATGCAGTTCTTTAAAAACATCTAAAATACTGGGGATATAAAAATATCCTTTTTTTTTCATTCTACGAAAATTAAAAAACCCACCTTATTCGCTATATTTATATTTTCTATAGAGGAACAAATATATTCACATGAAAGGTAAATAAATACTCACTCTGGCTAGTAAAATGTTTGTATTCAGCATGTAAGTCAGCAGCTGCATCAAGAACATCAAAGGATTACTGGCAAATTTGATTCCAGTACATTTATTCTAAACCCAAAAGGTTTCTTACCTAATATCAATAAGCTTTTCAAGTCTACAGGCCCAATCTTACTTTGTATACGTTGCTTTCAGTAGATTGGAGAGTTCCTGAAAATTATTTTTGTGTGAGCATCTAGGCAACATAGCATGGCATAGCTCTGTAATTATGCCAAAGTCTCTTGGCCGTGGGATATTAATGGTTTCTCATTTGTCTGCTTGCTTTGATGATGGGCCAAATGCTTCATGCTCGTTGGGGTTTTTTTTTGCCTAAATTCAAATAAAAATCAGGAAATGAAGAGAGATTGTATTAACACACTATTCAAAAAGTTAGTCAAAAGTATTAAAAAAAGAGAACTTGAAAATTTTGATCCATATTCTTTATTTTTCAGACTACTACATCTGCTTTTGTCACATAGGAAAAAAAACAAGAGTCTCATTAAGTGCAGATTTGGTCTTAGCATTGTATCATAGCTCTGGAAAGGGTTAAACTGTTTAGAAGGGAAAATTTGAAAAAAAAAAAAAAAAAACACACGTGTTTTTCCTGATGGCATATGTAGCATTTAGAATACTTAAAGAATTAAAAGGTACTTAAAATACTAGTGGGAATTAAAGTGCAAGAGGCAAACAAACAACACGGTTGGGCAAAGGTTGCTTCCAGACTTTGGTGCCTACCTTCACAGTTTAAAGAGAAGGAGTAACAACAGCAAAGAGCAAAAGGTTGTGGTCTACTTAGAGAATCTGGAATGCATTCAAATCCTAGGGCCAGGTGGGACTCATGTGAAAGACTTTCATGTTATGATTGCAATGTTGCTGTAGATGAGAAGTTCTGATGATTGCAAGAGGTCCCAGGTGGCTGAAAAGGGCTGATAGCGTGCCCATCTTAATAAGGACAGCCTGGAGGACTCTGAGTTGGTCAGCTTCAGGTCTGGAAGGGTGAAAAAAAACATCCTTCTGGAATCTGTTTTCAAGCACACGAAGGACAGAAATATAGTTTGGAAGAGTCAGCATTTATTTGCTGTTTGTTTGTATGGTCAGCATATTGCCTCCTGTAAGGAAATGACTGGCTACGTGCATAAGGGGAGACATTACAGTGGCTGTAACAGCCTTGACTTGAACAAGGCTTTGGACATCATTCTCTTTGGAAGCTGAGGGACTGCACACTGTAGAACAAGGGTTGAAAACAGTCTGAAGTGACAGGCTGAAGTGATATTAATCATGGTATTTGCTACCACTAATTAATGGTAATTGCTGGTATCTGACATCTGTGGGGCAGCCATTGATAAGTAGCCTGTTGGGAATTGGAAGCTGACGAAAAGTACCTGGCTGACTGATGAGCTTTCACCATTCCTTACTTGTTCACTGGGCCAAACAAATTGTGCATAGATTGCTGTAGGGCAGCCCAGAGGGATGGATGGATTCTGTTTGTGACTGTTTATCAACATTGTGTGTTATATCTGATATGGAAGTAAATGTTGTTAAGAAGGTTTTGCTATTCAGGCTTTTGATTAAGAAAAAAGAGCAAATCTGTGCAGATAATTTAATGTAATGATTTTCAAGTTAAACTTATTAGGACATTAGGGCACGCTGTGACAACAGTACAAATCATGATCAGATACCAGAATTATCTGGAAGGCTCCTTTCTGAATACTTAGCTTTCCTATATTTATTCCTGTTTTTTGCAAACTGCTAATATTCTTTTGCTGAATCTTTTACATTGATTTTAATTGCTTGTGAGTAGGTGTGGCTATTCTGTTGTTATGCAAAGAAGTTCAGTTGACCTATCTTAAGGCCTCAGGAAAGATCCTCTGCTTTGAGAATATTTTGTACATGTCCTGATGCAGACTCTGATAAGCAATCATGTTTTACAGCTCACACTTTAAGACCTTACTGTCCATGCAATGTGTCTTGAGGATTAGCTTTATAAACACTGATCCTATTTCACTATTGTGTATCTCTGCATTTGCTGCTTACCAGTGGTTTTCTGTTTTGTTCTAGTTCATTTACCAAGTTGCCTCACCTCGCAGGAACTGAACAGAATCTTCTTCTTGCCAAAAAAATTCAAGGCCAGTGGAAGGAATTTGGATTGGATTCAGCAGAACTTGTTAATTATGATGTGCTTCTTTCATACCCAAATGAAGAGCAGCCAAACTACATTTCACTAATTGATGATCAAGGGAATGAGGTGATCTTTTCAATGACAAAACATTGTTAATGTAAAACCTAAAAAACCTCCAGTGATTTCCTGTTAAAAAAGTGTCATCTTCTGTATTCTCACACACTCAGCTCAGCATGTGCTTTATGCTATTAAAAAATAATCCAGTGCAAAGGGAGTTCGTGTTTAGAAATGGTTTTCCAGGCTATGCAGAAAACACAGCAAAGGGCCTGAGATCTCAGTGCCTCATATGGAAGAATGAGGATGTGTGGAGAAGCTGCAGTTAACACCCATAGACCATAAGGCGTTAGAAGGGTTCAGCTTAAGGATACATCTAGGCTAATATCCTGTTTCCATAAACAGCTTTAAGTGAATGCACAGGGATGTTTAAGGACAAAGAAATGTATTTCAGGCATGCAGTTCTTCCAGTGTCTAGCTGTTTTCAGCTCAGGGCTTCTCTGAATATGCTGAAATTAGTCTCTTGAAAAATTCTCATTAGACCTTTTCCAAGTATTTATCCAGTCAGTGACCCTCATTACATCTCTCTTCCAAGTACCTATCCAAACCCTGCCTGAACATCTGTACAATATTTGCTTCCACTACATGCTGAGGTAAGGAATTGTGGAGATACTATCAATTTTATGTAGTATCGCCTTGTTTCCCTTGCTCTGAACCTGATCTCACTGGCTTCCTATGGTGTCTCCTAAGTTAGTGTTGGAAGTACTAATGAACTAGTCAGCCTAGAGACATCTTCTCTCTTTTGAAAACCTGGGGAAATAAAGAAGTAGATGTAAATTCTGACAAGGATCCTGGGCAAGGAGAGGAGGTGGGACTGCTAGAGAAGCATCATAGCACATAAATAAGGATGAAGAGCCAGGGTAGAAAGTAAGGAATGTGTGCTCAAGGATGACACGAGCTTAGAGGTGAAAGAATGAAGTTCTTCCAGAAACCCTGTAACAGTGCCTCAGCTACAGTCTCACAAGGTGACAGAAGGTGGACATGCACCTTAAAGCAACATGAGTGTTACAATGCAGTGATGAAGGGCAGCACGTTTAACTGGAGCATCACTAGATAAGAGATAAAGAGAATAATAATACAAGGTGGGAGAAAGCACAAAAAAAGACACCTGGGATGGCATGGATGAACCAGATGTCTTTTTCCGTCACTACCTCTTGGCAATTTTAAGCTACTTCTTTCCTTAAGTTCAGGGAGTGACTGATGAGCAACTTCTGACATGTGATCTGTCTCTTTGTATTCATATCTGCATTATCTTACAAAATTTCAGCTCTGGATCCCTACCTGTGTTTTTGTTTGAACTTATGTGTACTAGTTAGAACTGTATTTTTTGCTATCAATTCATGGAAACTGTAATTTAGGCTGCTGACAAAGCTAACTAACTTGGCCAAAGCCAAAGCTTTTGATATTTTTCATCTATAGGACTGCAATATTTTGAAATAGTAATTATTTAATTATACAAGGAGTCTGATGCACAGAAACTGAATAACTGTTATGAGTTTGACTTTAGTTTAAACTATAATTAACATTTTTTTAGTGTGTGAATTTGTGCCTAGAATGTTTGATCAGAAACTACTGTTATTTTATTTTATAGGTTTTCAATACATCATTGTTTGAACCACCTCCACAGGGGTATGAAAACGTTACTGATATACTACCACCCTATAATGCGTTTTCAGCACAAGGAGTGCCAGAGGTAAGAAAAGAAATTATGTAATGGTACTATTACCTATTTTTTGAAACACTTTCTGGGACAGATTGCTCCAACTTCTCAAAAATTTGTTGCAGTAGTTTTAATTACCGTTTGTCTTAATTAAAGAACATTTAGGCACAGATAGATGTCATATTCTGCAAAGGTTGAGCTTTCCCAAATCGTTAGAAGTCTGAATCACATAATAAGTGAAAAATTTTTATCTTGATGGAAAATTTTGGATGCATCTCAGATTGTTCCATATTATTCAGTCATATGTAGAGGACTTGATTAAGACACAGGTAGAAGTAGCATTTAGTAGAATAACACTAGAATATTTATATCAAGTTGGAAGACATTTTGGATTAAATGAATGCCTTCAAAGGCCACAAAAGGTCCTCACTTAATCTGCTAATTCCTTATGGAACAGGTCAGGGACAACATTGCATTGCATGCATGAATGAAATTTTATAATAATGAGTGTTTGTGTATGTAAGTCATACCACTGCTTTGTCACAACCAGAGAAGTTAGTCAGTTTACCAAAGTACCTGGTTTATTTTCCAGCCTGTTTTTAGGCCTGTTAAGTGCAGGATAATAGCCAATCAGAATTTTGAGCCAAAGCTTCCTATGGAATATTGTGAATATCTTTTGCTATTGTTTTTATGGGCACTGGGTCTCAGTTGTAGAAATGAAAAAATAGTTAAAAATCCTCTGTCATACATAGTGAATGAAACATTATTTCTGATAAGAATATTTTGTTTGTTGACTGACCAGTTGCCACGACACTGCTTTTCTTTTCTGCCCAGGCAGATCTGGTGTATGTGAATTATGGGCGTACAGAAGATTTTTTTAAGCTGGAGCGTGAAATGGGAATTAACTGTACAGGAAAGATTGTCATTGCCAGATATGGGAAGATCTTCAGAGGAAACAAAGTAAGGGTTGAGTTTTAATTTTTCTTCTGTGGGTCAGACACTGATGATGGTAGAGCTTGAGGGAATTAATAAGGGCTATTCATTGGAACATATGAGCAGAAGGAAGCCTGGAATATATCCATTGTGACTGCAGTCTAAGAAAAACTTCCAAAATAATAAAACCAGATGGATGTATTAAAGTCCTGAGACAGAGATGACTGCAAACTACCTAGGCAGTTCTTGCAAGAGAATAGTTCAGGGAATGGAGTAGTTTGTAGAGCCAAGTCTATTGACACATGCCATCTATAGAACTGCACTACTTTGAAACAATAGCACTTTGACGAGGAGTCTGATGCACAGAAACTGAGTAACTATCTCTTCTGATTTTAGACAACAAATCTGGCAAAACTGGTGATAGTGGGGCAGTGAGGATGGTAGTCAGGTTTTGGGCCTCATTTTTATGTTCTGTTCTTCATTTCATAGCCTTGAGCTATGACAAAAGGTTTGACACAAATAATGAACATACTGCATTTCACCATGCTTGGTTCTTCTGCTAAATCTGGGGTAATTTTCAACTCTTTCACATACTTGTCTTCTAAAAACATGCCTGCATGGAAGCAAATCTCAACGTTCAGTTTTATTGCTGCATTAAAAAAAAAAAAGCTGCATCTTAAAGCCAAATAATTTCACAGGTTAAAAATGCCATATTAGCAGGAGCCAAAGGGATCATACTTTACTCAGACCCTGCTGACTACTGTGCACCTGGAGTAGAACCTTATCCAAATGGCTGGAACCTTCCAGGTGGAGGAGTCCAGCGTGGGAATGTTTTAAATCTGAATGGAGCTGGGGATCCTCTGACCCCAGGTTATCCTGCAAAAGGTGAGTGAAAGTTCTCTAGCATGGGCCATCAAGTACTTCATAAACTGCTGCTGAAAGTGTGGCACTAGAAGTTAATTAATTTTCAGTACAGATGCACAGAAAAAAAAGCTGCTTGAAATTCTTATTGACAATAGTTAATTTTTGATTGCACACTATGTTCTGTCTGTGTCATTCTAACTGCATTCAGTTAGGCAGGGGAATAAAGTTTCTAGGAAACTCTTTATATGGTACCACCTTTGTGACACTTAAAAAAGCAGGATGTGTAAGTTTACAGACTGTGGAGCAGCAGAAAATGACTGAGAATTATAGCCATTTTAAAATGTCTATGTTTCTCAAGAGGACCACTTTTAAACAAGGTTATACTTTGCCATCAAAGAGGACTAATAGCTTTACTTGGAGGTATGTTTCCTTGTTAATCAAAAGTTCCAGGAAAAAAAAACCAGTTTAAAATCCTTTTTAAGGGGAATAAAATTCCTGTAGCAAAAATAAGAGCAGTCTGGAGTCTTTCAAAAGTTGGCACCACGTGCTTCTCTTGTCCTTGTTGGCATCCTAAACTTGGTCTGAACTAAGACACCTGCCAGTGCTGGGTGCTGGTGGGATGGCTGTACAGGGATGCTTCTGGAAAGCTCATGGGCTTGTGTGGTCACTGCTGGGGACATAGGACAGCCTAAACCAGGAGAGGTTGTGTGTGCCAGGCCCAGCAGACTCAGAGAGACACTGGCAGTCTTCGACCCAGGTAAATGCATCTGTGGATGTCCCCTGCAGCTTGTCAAGCAGCTGCACAGGTGCCATTTTCACCTCACATGCCAGCTTGGAGGAAATGTTATAACATGGTTGGACAGCAAATCTAGCCAGCAAATCATGCATCAAGCATGGGGACCTCTTCTGCACTGCTGTGCAGATGGTTCTGTCATTACAGTTGGGTTTTCTAGAAGCAGTGTGTGAGAAATGATGTAAGAATTAAAAAGAATCATGTATGCTGGTGGCTGCTCTGCTCAGAAGTGTTTCCAGTTTGGTTAAAGTTGCTAAGAATGCCATAAACTTTACATTTTCTTCTGTTTTCTCAGAGTACACTTTCAGGTACAAGGTTGATGAAGGTGTAGGGATTCCCAAAATCCCGGTTCATCCCATTGGATATCATGATGCAGAAGTATTACTGCGGTGAGTATACATCAGCCCTCCTCTCCAGAAGTCAGGGTTGAAAAATGGGCAGACGAATTTGTCATATTAAGATGGCAAAGTCTATGTTGTTACTTGCATTTGCTACTCTTTTGTAGTAATGAAAGTAATTCAGAAGTAATAATGTAGTAATTAATGTAGTAGTAATGTAGTTATTCCAGAAAATGTGGAAAATGTAAAGCATTCTATTTTTGCAATAATGCATTTAAGAATTTTGTAAAACCACCTAGGTTTTGCTGCAGTAATTATTAAGAGAATTAAAAGTTTCAGCCTAATGGTCAACTGCATTTGTCTTGGTTTTCATTTCACAGTGCAATGGGAGGACCTGCAGCTCCAGACAGCAGCTGGAAGGGAAGTCTCAATGTGTCTTACAATATAGGGCCAGGATTCACAGGCAACTCTTCTGCAAGGTCTGTTTTAATACTTTTCTGTTCATACAATTTTGCAAAAAAAACATCCCTCTGAGGAAAAGACTCTCAATCAATATATTTAGAGATACTCTGGAGATATTTACTTCCTTCTGCTAGGATACATTTGGAGATAATTATTAGAATTTGAAAATAAATTCCATTAGAAAAAGATAATAAATTAGCAGATCAAGCCACATGACACTGACATTTGACAATAAATTGCAATAAAGCTACAGCTCACTTTTCTCTGACTTTTCCACATAAATATAGTTTAAGTTTAATAACAGGAGTTATTATTCAGTGAGGACTGTTAGTGGACCCCAAAAAACAGCGTGTAAAAATGGTGTATCATTATCACAACTCTATCTCCTGGAAAACAAGAGTATGTCTGAATATATATATAATTTTATAAAGACTTCATTTATCATTATTCTTTTCTGCTCTGCTTTTAGGTAGCTGAAAATGAATAAAGTAGGAATGACTAAATAAGAAAGCATATTTGACATAATTACAGTGCTGTATGGAGTATCTTGAAGAGCAACAGTGAGAAAACAATATGATTCATCCACAAAACTTGTATTTTTGAGTAGGCTTTTTAACATCTTCCTGCTTGATAGAGTAACATTTTTGTTGTAAATATGGATTAATTCTACACGTAGTTCTTTCTCAGAGCAGTTCCATATCAAAATGAACCTTTTGATTCTAGGTAGAAAGTCACTTGCACATGAGAAGTGTGCACATATATGCACGTTCAAGGCACTGGTGTCTGTTACTTTCTGGGCAAAGATCCAGTGGGTGTCCTGAAGTAGGTTTTGATTTTGACAGCTATGCAGATTTGCTGCTGAAAAAATAACTTCAAATGTGGATCTCCTGAGGTTTTGCCAGACATGCAACCCCTCCCCATTGTTTGGTGCTTTGTTTCTTCCACAGCTTAAGGGGGCTGAACATGTGTTAGTTTTATCTCTCCAAATATCTGGATTCCCTTGGTTGTTATAAAATTTCACAAGTGGATTTTACTGGTAGGAGACAGGGAAGAAAAAAATGTGCTTCTAGTAGAAGGTTTTCTGCCTCTAATGGAGGATTCCCTGCCCATGACAGGGAGGTTGGAACTGGATGACCTTTAAGGTCCCTGCCAACCCAAACCATTCTGTGATTCTGTGACTGACAAATCTTAATCACTTAGATCTACTGTCCTAAACACAGATTTCAGTTTATTCCTGGATGAATATTCCTAATCATCTTTTCTTCAAGTTCTGTATTGTTGTATGGGCCTGTGCTAGGAAACCAAAGTGTATTCTTTATAAACATCTGCATATCCACAATTATAATTTTGGTCAAATGTAGATTTTTTTTTAATTACTGTGCATGTTTTTCTATTTATTCGTCTAATACACAATTATCTGATGGGTTCCCATTAAAAAAAGGTCTATAAATTCTGTAAATCTTTGCAAATGTATAGACTAGAACAGCTCATAGGCTTTTTTCTAAGGCATCAGCAGTAGGCTTTACTGAAATAAAAAATGGGTCTCTGAGACAGCATGACAGTGCTGAACACACGTTGGATCAGTGCTGAAAACTCAAGGCAGGACAGAAGCACAAACTCTCTGGTTTACATGTTATTAGCATTGGCTATTTATTGGCTTATCAATCAGAAATGGTTACTCCACCTTCCATTTCAGAAAAATCAGAATGCACATTCATACAAGCAATAAAATAACACGAATTTACAACGTCATTGGCATCCTCAGAGGAGCTCTGGAACCAGGTGAGCATCAGGTGCTTGATGATTTTAATTCCTTCTCTCTTTTGTATTTGTGTTGTACTTGTTTTATATTTCTATTGTACTTGTGTTGTAAGAAAATTAAAGTGTTTTAGATAACCGTACATTACAGTCTTGAGAAATTCTTAGTAGTTTTTCTGTCCTTCCCATCACACTATTTGTCATTGGCATTCCCAAGAATAGCATTCCCTATAAAATACAGTGATAGACATCAGAGAATGCTTTTTTATAATGCCTGTCACTTTACAGTAGGCTTCACCTTACATCATTCAAATTTTTGCCTTTGCAAAAATTAACATAATTCAAATTAGAGAAACCTAGTGATGATTTGGAACATTAACATTATACTATTGATACATTATATATTAATACATTATGCTCTTGTAGCAGGTCATACAGAGCAAAGACTTTTAGATGGAAAAATATTTATTAAATATTTATTGTCTTTAGTTGCAGACCTTAGTAGAATAAGTGAATGATTGCAGTTTCCCTTAAGAAATAAACTTGTAGCACTGGTATTGAACTTCATATTTGATTTCATACAAGTAAAGATGCAGTCAAAGGAAATCACAGGTAATCCTAGTGCATTTTTAATTATTAATTGATACTGTATGTTTGTTTCCAGACAGATATATTATTTTAGGTGGTCATAGAGACTCTTGGGTGTTTGGTGGTATTGATCCAACCACTGGTGCTGCAGTTCTGCAAGAGATCGTACAGAGTTTCGGTAAAATGAAGATGGAAGGTAACTTACTTACTACAGATGTAAAATGATGGATATGAAAAACAGCAGCTTTGAGGATCAGTGCTTCCATAAGTTGTTCTATTGATTTAACTTTTCACCTCTACAGAAAGTTTTATTTCTCATTATGAAAGTTGTAGATTCATTGAAGAGATGCATATGTGGCATTGTGTGGTAGTTGGCTGAATTTATCCCCTCGTGAGTGTAATGGTACCCTCTTAGCTGTGCAGATTGAAAATATTGCATTAAGAAGAAATGCCTCTGCAGTAATATGTTCCTCTAAGGATTTTAGAGAGGATTTTTTTACTGTTATATCAGTTAAGTGCTGTTTTTAAAGCAATTTCAATACACTGTGGTCAGTAGACTTTTAAAGTATAAGTTGAATTTTCAAGTTTAATGATGTAATTGCAGGTTGGAGACCTAGGCGAACTATTATTTTTGCTAGCTGGGATGCAGAAGAATTTGGATTATTGGGTTCCACAGAGTGGGCTGAGGTAAATAAAAAAACCTGTGTAAAGTAAAGCAAAACTTGAAAGTGTGTTGCAGGTGACTACAGTACCCAGGATCTATTCCTAAACTGCAATCAAAAACTCTGTGGTAAAATTGGAGTGCAACAGACTCCTTCAGGTGTTGTGAGGCACTCATGTATTTATATAAATTACCTACCTACCTAGCTTCTTACAACATAAGTGCACTAACTCTTTTAAGATTTAAAAATATACTTTGATTCAAAGCTAATATCCCACAGTGGTCTCTATGTGGAAATATATCTCATAATTTAACAGAATTATACCATTTTATTTAATCCAGATTGGTCTAACTTTCTATTTGAGAAATTCCTTAGTTTCTATAAATTCAAGTCCAGATCCTGAACTTCTGATCTGTAAGCATGCCAAGCCTTTGTATAAAAATCAATCCTACTGTGCAAATGAAAGAATAGATAATTTATGAGTGAATAGAATCAAAATTCCTGTGAATTCCAGCATTGTAGAGCCTCAGGGGCAGGACAGTCAATTAATTCTGTAGGAGGATCCCTGACTGTATACCTGCCTGAAAGAAGAATGTTGGCAAATTCAGAAATGAGTTCTGGGTGTTTCTATCTTCCTTTTCCTATTGAGCATGCTATTTTTATCTTTCTTTTCCTGCCTGAGGGAGGAATGTTGGGAAATTCAGAAGTGAGGTTCTGAATACTTGTATCTTCCTTTTCCTATTGGGCATATTCAGTTCTTAGTAGATTTGTTCAACCCCAATAAGAAATATAGGTCTTACAAGAGTTTTCATTGCTTTGTCTGTAAAATCTAAATTAGAAATAGAGCAGGAAGAAAATTGCCTGATAAAATACATTTCTGCTGAACTATGTCAATTTATTAATACTGAATAGTTTAACAGAAATGTGTTGTCTTATTCTTCTATTAGAATTTTATTTACAAGTTAATATTTAGCTGTGTGGATATAGCTTTCAGAATCTATAAAATAAAAAATCTTTCAGTTTAGTTTATTGCCATGTATTTCAGCAAATCACAAAATTACATAGTAAAACGGCACATGTCAGAGGAGATAACAAACCCAGAAAAATGCTTCCAAACACCAGGAGGATTCCATCACTCTTCTGTTAACAAAGCTGAGATTTCTATTCCTTCAGATTTGCACTATTTTTTTCACTCATAAACTGGCTTACAGCTTTAACAATGTCTTAATCTTACTGCTGGTTTATGAAACATGAAGAAAAAGTAATTTAAATTATTTTAAATAATTTACTGAGATATTTTAAAGAGTTGGCATTAAATTTTCATCCCACCTGAACTCCACTGGTGGCAAAAATATGCTGTATGTAAACTTTGTGATTTCTTTGTCTGTGTATCTCTGCATACATAGAGGTGCTGTCAAGAAAAAAACCACACAATTGTTTTCCTTATGAGGAATATGAAACAATGATACTTGAGAAACCAATTTCTCTTGAACAAGTCATTAATAAATTAGGGAGTTTTCTTATGTTCTATTTGTTAAATATTGCTACTGCTGTTCTGGGTAGCAATACAATGGGTTTTGTGTAATAATTTGGTATCTAGTAATCTATCATTCATTATTTCATGAAATGGCAGCTGTATAAGGTTAGAAAACTGTAAGCACAGTTCATATTTGAACGTGTCTTTTAATTTTATTTTTCCTTACTTCATCTTGGTGGTGTGCATTACTACTTTTTTAGACCTAAATTAGATTCAGTTTCTCTAGAGACATTCCTCACAGCTTACATTCCTCTTCTCTGCAGCTGCCAGATCTGTCATGTATTAAATCTCGAGGAAAATTAACCCATTATATTCACCATCTTCTGTGTAACAGAAAGAATTCAGCTGTGGCAACATTCTTTTGATACACAGATGATCTCCATAGCTCATAAACAAAGATATTTATTTATGCTGCAAATATGATTTTGCATATATGCAAGGCTCCATATAGGCAAGTACAGTCTTGCTCCCTCCCATCATATTCTTTTGCAGGATCTCCTCTCCTGTGTGTTTTTTGTTTTTTTTTTTTACATGATGTAGTTATTAATTACCAATTAAATTTTTAGTTCACGTGACTTACAAATTATTAGTTGGGTTATAAATTGAATGAATCAAGTAACAATTGCTAACCTAATTAAAATATCTGTCACAAAGCAAAAATCTCGTGAAATACCACTTGCTAATTAGAGTATCAATTTCAAACATAATTACCAGTTTGGAAAAAAAAAATAAACAACATGTCTGCATATATTTAGCATGAAAGCAATGCTTAGTGAACTCAAAATAGTCAGTCAACTGCATTTAAGAAGAAAATTTCAGTGCTTTGGCTTTCCCTTTTGAAAAGGAAGATTGTAGATATGTCAGGAGTGCTTGGTTTATCGGTGTTAAAATTGAGTTCGGTGCTGGGAGCACATAATGGAAAACTAGGGATTAAAAGCATGGAGGAATTCTGGCTGACCTCACAGTCACATGTTGCATGTTCAGAAAGTCCAGAAGTGCAGAGCTAAAATGCATGTAATAACCTAATTTTACTGTGCTACAATTCTATCCAGTAATTTTCCTGCTCCATTTTGCTGTTGTGTGATGCAGCAGGCAGCACCTACACTTTTGGATGTTTTCCACAACAAATTAAATTAAGTCCCAGAAAGAGTAATGAATTTCATATGCCCAGAACATTTACCCATCCTCAAACAATATAATTAGTAAGGTACACAGTAGTAATTATCCTGACTGAGATCTTAATGGTAATGCTCTAAAAAACAATGCACTTGACATGCTCTTGACTAAATGCCACTAACTGGAAGTAAGAATTTTACATTTACAACCCTAGGAAAATGCCAAAGTCCTTCAGGAACGGGCAGTCGCTTACATCAACGCAGATTCTTCTATAGAAGGTGGGTCTTTTTTTTTAAACTTTACGTGACTTTACAGCTGTAATTTTTATTAGTTCTCTGTGAATTATTTACTGCATGAGATAGGTATTATGGTGTACAGAATAAGTGTAGCAAAGATGGAGTTAAGAGGAGAGAGAGAACAATTTAAGTTTTCATGTTGCTTTCTTTTGCAAGTAGTGCCATCCATGAGTTGCAGTCCACGTGTCTGAGTCCAGAATATCTCCTCTGGAGGAGTTTATTATTCTGCGCTAATGAACTGAGCATTCTGTATGTTAAACTGTCTCTTAGCTGCATTAACTTTAATTTACAATTGTAGTTTTAATATATGACAGTCTGCTCCTTGTTCTGGTCATAGCTCCAGCTCCTTTCCCTCTGGAATTATAATATTTTGAGACAGTAAATTATTATGATGGTAAGACCTCAGGCTTAGACTTTGTGGGGGTGAGAGATACTTTGGGGCTTTGAGCCAGTGCGCTCACCTTTGTTGATTGCCAGGAGCAGGGGGTTATATATTTATTACAGCAGGACTTTTTTAAAAAATAGACCCTGAAAAGTGTTTCACAAAAAAACCTTATCCACCATTATCCAATTTACTGTGTCCTTCAGATTATGAGAAGAATATGCCATTCAGGAATGCTGCTTAGAAACCGGCCTTTGTTTTTTTGAGAGGGCCCAACTGTATGATCTATATTACAAAATCCTTCTGAAATTGTGCTGGACTTTATTACAGAAAGACCTTTCTTACTGTTTCCTGTGCTGAAATAATAGTCAGAAGGGTCCTGTGAAGCTGCTCTGCATCATAACCTCTGTTACTCAGGGCATTACTCTTCCCACGTCAAATCCAACTTATTTGGGCTTCCTGTGTGTGAATAAAATTGATATCTACAGGCATATTTAGGAACTCTTTTTATTCCTGTCAGCTAAAAATTTTGTCTATCACAAGAGGATTGGAAAGAAAGAAAAGCCAAAGCCCAGTTTCTAAATGCTCAGTTGGAGCTGGGAAATGAGGAGGGTTAGAGCTGTTCCTTCATTTATGCTGCCTAGATGCTGTGTAAAAAGTAGAGTAGAATTTCACACCTAGAAAATCTCACAAATGAAATAATAGTTTACAACTGCTTCATATTCTCACCATGGATTGTAACGCATATTTTTTAGTTGGTTTGCAGCCAACATCCTGCTGCCTTAACAATTTTCTTCTAAATCTTGATTATTCAAACATGTCTCTTGCTTTATGCATTAAAGGAAATGTGAAAGCAAAACAACTGGAAAAGAAGTGTGTAATAAGGAAAAGAACACCATGTTCATTGCACTGGTCTAAGTACCTTGGACATCTCTCACCTGAGCAGTAAAATCCCCTGTGGACTCATAGCATTCATCTACTCTGAAAATTATTTTGTTTATCATCATATGTTCTCCACAACACTTCTTATACCGCTTTTTGAATTATTTCTATTTATTGTCCTATAGCAATGAAAAGAAGAAAAGCAAGTCATTGTTTTAAGCACTTTTGTGGCTTGAATTTCCAGTTTTCACATACAGACTCTCCTTGGAAACATCATTAACATTATCTGGTATTTTTTCCATCATCTCACTGTCTGCCTTCTGTTCAACAAAAGCTTTGGGAAGTGTATGAGTGACAAGGGCTTGTAGCTAATGAGGGATAATTAGGCATACTTTAGAGCTATGGGAAGGCTTAATTACATTACTGTGGATGTACTATAACCAATATTTTATTGCCTTGTAGTGGCAGTAGCTTACAAAGTGAGACCATGCAGTCTATTGCTATATATCTCTGAGGCAAGATCAAAATTTTTGCCTTAGTCAAAAAGTTTATCTAAGAAAGGACTGCAGGGTTTAATCTATTAAGAAGATAAAGCCACTAGTACATGAAGGGAAAATTTCCATATTTTTGTTTTATTTTCAGGTAACTACACATTAAGAGTTGACTGTACCCCTCTTCTCTACAAACTGGTGTATAATCTGACAAAAGAGGTACAGAATCCATCTACTTTTCTGCCTTTCTAAGAATAAGTAAGACTCCAAGTTTATTTGATAAAATTGGACTATCGAATAATACCAGACTGTTTTGTTGCTGTACTAGAAGATTCCACCAAAATCAATAGCAAAACATCCCATCAGCAGTACACAGTCCATGCTCACAGTTCCTCAGTATTCTTAAAAGGATGGAAATGTGTCACTGACATAAGTGGAATCTTATTTGCATTATACAGTAAAAATAATAATAATAAAAGCAAAATGCTTGAGCAAGATCAATTCTCTAAAGTTATAAACATTGAAAGGAAATATTTTTGACATTGGCTGGCTGCCATTTTCTCACTGTCTGTTCCCCTGAATCTCCTCCATATCTCACTCAGCCCCTGAAATATGTGATAAATATTGAAGGATTAAGAAGGTTTTTTAACAGGTCTGATGTGTGGATTTGCTTTGTTTCAAGTGGTCTAACCATGACTCCTTTACTTTCACCTCTCGGGATACGTTATCATAATGCTGAAAGGTTGTGATCCACTAAAGCATGGAACTTTATTTTCCATATGAGTTAACCAGATTAGTCTCCTGTCATGAGCCATTGCCACTACCCTCAGATGAGGATTCATCTCAGCTAACAAAAGACAGAACAAGAGCAGGACAGGCTCCCTGTAAAGGCATTGGGTAGAAATTGGTGCCTTTAGGATGAGATTTGTTTGACCAAATGTGGTTGTCTACCTTTGTATGTACTGAAATCAAACTATTCCCCCCCTAATCTTAAGGGAACTCGGGTCACTTGGTCCAATGTAAAAATCTGCCCTGTAATGGCACTTACTAGGATGACTCCAGCTACCAATCTCCCATCCTGCTAGATGCATTCATCACAAGTTATTTTCAAACACAGCACACTTCTACCACCTGAAATGCCATGGTTTAGATCTGGGAAAGTTTATCTGTGCTATTCCCATGATTTTCTTTTCTTTCTACATTTTATTTTCCTGTCAATTCTGTCTTAATCTTTCATCCTTGCAGAGGGAAGAAGCTGTGCTGTTCAAATATTAGCTCTGACACTTGGCACACTGAAGAGCATTCTCTTTTGTCTAAAAAACTTTTTGTGTCCTTAGTGCTGCAGGGCCGTTGATAAAATAATTTACTTTTTGTCTGCAGCAAGCCACTAACTCAGGAAGACAGTTCACTGTAAAAGATAAACAAAGTTACAAAAAAGTGCTCGATGCTAAAATTAGTACCTAGATCTGATCTTAAGTCAACTATCCAGCTATTGCTGGTTTGAGTAGAAAACTTCCATTAAAGTACCATGCAAAGTACTTGAGACTGACTTGTAAAAATAAATGTCATATTCACTGTTATTTTAGCTTTTAACAGTTAGAAGCATGATGTAAACAATAGAAAACCTGGCAGCCTGACTATGCCTGTCCTAAGGAAAGTTATTTCTGTTCATATTAAGGTGTCCAACACCCAGTTATCTAACATCCAAAGATCTCTTTGCTCTTCTTGTTTTTGAGTGGGCCAGTCCTCACCAGAAAGAAGTGTAGTGTACACATGAAGTGTTTTCTTTCAGGGAGTTCTGCATTTAAGTGTGGTCCAGCATACAGATGGGACATTGAGCTGTTGACTGTCTTCTTGGCCCTGCTTTACTGCCAGGGTTTAGACATTTGGTCACCACCAAATGGTGTCTGCAATAGTTCAACTCCAATCCTCCTGTGATTATCACTGCTTCTTTTGCATTTATACTTAGAGAACTCTTCATCTTCTCTTGAGTTAGCGGGAAGCTTATGCTGATCCTAGATTTGGATCTAAGTCCGGGCAAATATGTTTTACTATGCTCTCAGTGTTGTATGGAAAAGCTGACCAATGTTTTTACATGACCAAAGCTGTTAGAATAACATCTTTGCCAGAGCATAGAGTGCTTTTCCTCCCACATGCCAGAGTTCAGCTTGCTCTTATTAATGTACATTTTTCACTTTAGCCCTAGGACTTGACCAGAGTACCCAGAAAATGACAGTAGGCAAGCAGTTATTTCACAAAGTTGTTATTTTCCTGCTAGCTGCTGACAGAATCTCAGAGGTCAGAACTCTGCAATTTCAATTTGGAGTCTGAATGTTTTTCAAGGTCGAATTTAAGTCTCAACAACATGGTGGGACCATGTAAGTGTCCATGAACATTTATGCTTTGTACTTTGGAAAAAAAAAATCCAATCCTCTGCACATAATAGCCAATCTTATACTTAAAGGACCATGTCTATTAAAGGTTGTTTAACTGTAGGTGGAGACCAGGGTTGGAGTCTTGACTTATTTTGACTCTGCCACAGATTTTCTAAGAGCTTTCGTCAACTTATTTTATACTCTTTCATAGTTCTGCTGGCAGCATGATGACAACACTAATACTTACCTTTTCCATCCTGGTTACAGAGCTTTTGGGGTTTTTTTGAGGTGAGGGTGAGACCTACATTTGTACATACAGTGTTTTGCACAATGATTCTCCAGGCTTGGTTGAGTTCCCTTGGAACTGCTATAATTATTTTGTACCTTTCCTGCAGAACACGCAGTCGAATTTTAGGTTTAGCCTTGTTGAGAGAATATTGCTGCTGTGCAGGGCAAACCTCAGGACAGACAGGCTTGTGATTGTCATCTCCCCATGCCTGCTGAAAGGAAAGCAGGTTCCAGTAAACTGAGGAGTCCCACAGTATTATATTTGCTGTTGTGTGTGTACATGCCCATTTCCCTGGTAGTAGATGAGCTCCAGGTAGCATCCTTTTAACCTGTTCTTTCCTGCTATCTGTGGTTGGTTCCAAGTGCCTGTGAGATGCTTTCCTTCTTTGGGAATGCATAAATGTGAGTAACAAATGTCAATATTCACTTCCCTGCATGCAGCAGCACTGCTGGTTAAGAATGAAGCAGGGAGCTGCAAAGATCTCCTTTGATAATGAATCGAGTTAGAGGTATTTCCAATGAGATTATCATATTTCCCTCTCCAGATTTTAAGCCCTGATGAGGGTTATGAAAATAAATCTCTTTATGAGAGCTGGCTGGAGAAAGATCCCTCATCTGAAAATAATAACTTTCCCAGGTAAGTTAATATGTTTCGGGGTTTATTACCCCAATATTTTAATCATATCATGGTATGGCTACTCACTAGAATTTTTTTTGAGATGTGCTATTTATGGCAGCAATAAAAAAACTTTTAGTGCAAGGTGACCCTCTAGCAATAATATTTTTAATAGTAAAATAAAATAGTATTATTTTTATTTAATGATGGTGATATTATTCCTGTGATGAAATGAAACCTCACACTTTTTAAAGACCTTTATATTAGTAGAAAAGCAATTTGAAAGGCATTCAAAAAAAAGCAGGGTGGGGAAAGGGTTTAAAACACAGTTTAGTCACCTACTAGATAAGATAAAATCAAAATTGTTAGGATAAGCAAACAGTTGAAAGAAGCTGCCTAGAGCAGTAATTAAAAAGCAGTAATTAAAAATCTTGAGATAATTATTTCTTGTTTATTCAATGAATGTAAATGTATTACATTACAAATCTATATATGAGTGTAGTAGCACTTCATATTTCAAGGTATTGCAAGTCCAAAACACTCTTTCCACCTGTGACTCAGAAAGGCTAAATCTCATTCCCAGTGTGGCGCTACTGACATAAGGTAGACAGAACTGCCCCCTTTTGTGATTTGACAAAAATCTTCTGCATGTTTCTGGCTCTGCTAAGATGAATTTCTGGATTCATTAGACCCACTGAGATTTCTTCCTTTTGAAAAAGCAGCCACATTTGATCTTTCTTAGTTGATGCACATCATTTCTAATGTACACTAACTTCAGCTGGAAACAGAAGAAACTTTTTTTTTTTTTTTTTAAGCTAATAAACACTAATTATTCATCCGGCCAGACATATAAACCTGAAACTTAACTTCAAATATAAATATTTGAAAACACTTCGGGTGCTGTGTCTGTCTTCTGCCGTCTCCTTGCCCCTGCCACGCCGCAGCTCCCCATCAGATGGCAGCGGCGGCCCGCGGGTGCCGAATGCCGCCCGTGCCTTTCGCAGCGGGAATTATTTATCGGTCTTGGATTCTGCTGCGGAATGTGCCAAGTACACAAACACATCTGTCTTTACACATACTGCTGCCCAATTCGTATTAGTTTGGAAATAGATGATTGATGTTTTAAGACGGCAGAGACATGGCTGATACAATTTTATGGCTCCTGCGCATAAATTGTTTGTATTTTTAATGTCAGCTTTGCCGTAATTAGGATTGCTACAATTAAAAGATCTTCCTAGCAATATTGGATACTGAATCAGAGTGTTGGAATAAAATCAGTTAAGTAATTAAGCTTGCCATTCATCTAGCCTTTGATCTTGCTGGTGTCCCTGATGTGCCCTTCAGAAAAACTGACCTCAATTTCTCTGAAAAATCTGCATTTTGCATAAATTACTACCATACTGTTCAGTAAGTGCCCTCACTAAGATGTTGTCTTTTCTGCTTGCAGAATAAACAAACTGGGGTCAGGCAGTGATTTTGAAGCTTACTTCCAGCGACTGGGAATTGCATCAGGCAGAGCTCGTTACACCAAGAACAGGGTAAGTCTGACAGACTGCTTGAAGAAGTTTGATAGTGCTGAGCAGTCATCCTGTTAAAAGCATTTATTCATAATTAATAAAAAAGCTTCAAAGCATCTTTGACTGGTTTGTATACAGTGATGTTTCTTAATTTAACAAGAAACCTAAATGTTTGGAGAATAAAACATGTTACAGTGATGTGTATATTCTATAGGATGTCAAGTTCACAGAGAGGTATTTATAGAGTCTGATTGAAGGTGGACAGTTTGTTCCACCATGCTATTAATAGTCCCCTTAATATACAAATCTTCCATAGCTGTGTTCAGAAACAGCTACACAAGGTAAAAAGGGGCAATGATTGATGACTTTTGCTATCCAAACTCCAAACTGTTTTCACTCTTGGAGAAGGCAACCTCTGTGCAATGGAACTGAAGGCAGGTCTGTGTGGGTAGAGAGAAGGAAGCGTGCTCAATCCTGTGCAACAGTCCATGGATTCAGACTGGTTTAATTTTTTAATACAAACACATACAAATCAAGGAAATTAAATTGTGTTTTGTAGCAGATAGCTTTTTTGATTTGGAAACCAAATAAAGCATCAGGGTCATAAAGGGATCAATACATCTTTTAACTGCGGTCAGAATACAGGGCATTGACAAATTTGCTTGCTCTTTTCCAGAAAGCAGACAAATTCAGCAATTATCCTGTTTATCACACTGTGTACGAGACATTTGAGCTAGTGGAAAAATTTTATGACCCCACCTTCAAGAAACAGCTAACAATTGCCCAGTTACGAGGAAAACTGATTTATGAACTGGCAGATTCCCAGGTCATTCCATTTGACTCTAGAGACTATGGAGAAGCCTTAAAAGGATACAGCAACAGAATTTATAAATTAGCCAAGAAGCATGAGGAACAGCTGAAACTTTATAAAGTATCATTTGGTGAGTAACAGCCACAGGTCTGCATTATGTGCATTAATTAGAATCGTGCAGGGACATGTTACATCTGTCATAGCTCTGCAAATTAACTCCTTTCTTTCCTGTTTGAAATTTGCCCTCACGGTAAAGAGCCTCAATTTTTTTTTTCTAAACACAACACAGGTTTAGCTCATTATTGTCTTGATAAGAGGGTGTGGTGGTCAATTACTAAGGGTTGATAAGAGGGTTCAGTGCTGGTCAATTACTAAGGGTTATAAGAATTTTCATGCATATTATTAATTACAGGCCTTATTACAGTGCTGACAGGCAGTCAAGGACGTCAAATGTAGGACAAAGTGGTATCTCAGCCTGGTCCTTACTTCCTCGCTTAAAAAAGAAAACAAGTCAAATGCTTATGGCAAGTGTTTGAAATCGAGGGACATAGGTGTCCATTCCTCTTCATCCAAAACTTCAGCTGACCCTGGGGAGCTCCACCATCTCCCTCAGTGCCTGGCTGCCATTTTTAAGCCACAGGAGCACCTTTCCAGCTCTCCTACATGAATACATCTATTTGCTGAGCACATAGCTCTGGAGCCCATGAAACAGGTCTAAAGCAGCACAGTGCTCAGGATCCCAGGCTGGGATAGCTTCCACAGTCATTTTCAGTCTCCTCTTTTTTTCTTCTTTTTTCCTTCTTGCCTTGATCACTCCTTGTGTTTCTGCACCAAGGAGATATTTCAGTCTGTCCTAATTCGCTTGCTATCTGATGAACCCATGATTTAGAGATAAATCACCTTTTGGAGATGCAGTCCTCATTTGGGGCATGTGAAATATTGTAAGAAACTCAAATTGAACCCACATTTGGGGGAGGTTAAAAATTATGCTTGAAACGTCATTAATGGTTTAGGTGAAAAATTGTTGACTATTTTGAGAAGACATCCTTTTTTGTAAAAAGGCCTCTTGAGACAGAGGAAGCATCTTGTTTGATGGATCATCTGGTCTGAGATTCTGTAAAACACCCAGAGCTACTTCAATATGTTCTAGTGTTCACTGCAGCATGTCTTGTAAGATCAAATCTTTTCTTTTTTTTTGCAGTAGTAGAACATCTATCAAAATATCTGTGAAAATATTTATTTTCATTGTTTTTTTATCTATTTTCAGATTAAAAGTTGCACAAACTACCTCCTGACCAATGCATCTATTCTCGTTCCTAGAATTTAGAAGCAATTCTACTTTTAGCTTTTTTTTCCACCCAAATAACACTGAGACCACTCCTTAATAACTTTATAAATCTGTTATTTTGACTATTTTTTACAAGGCATGTTTTTCAGTCTCATCATTATTTTCATGGCTCTTCTCTGATGCCTGATGAATTTTAAATTTTTTCTTGAATGAAGCTAAATTTTCTAATTTTTTATTTATTGTATTGCACCAGAGTACATTAAATAACATAGGTAGGTTTTACAATACTGTGAAAATTAAAGTTTATTTCACTCAGGATTTTCATAGAATTGCTTATTGTCAACACTGAATGTCAGAAAATTGTTGATTAATCCTAACTAAATCATATAATTGTCCTTCAAAATAATAGATTAAGGTTCTTATTTGCATTTGGATTCACATTTTGGCTGTTTATCTGCAACAATGAAGGCTGTACTTTTTTTTTTTTGTAAAATTTGTGCATGTAGTCATATGCTATCAGGAAATAATGTTTTCAAGTGGAGAAAAAAGAAACGTGATGTTTTCTAAAATAACCAACATTGACAACACTGAAGAGCTAGGGAACATGAACGCAAAGTTTCTTACATTATTTTTCAGATGGTCTTTTTATTTTTTTTCCCTCTCTTAAATCCCCTCCTACTGCTTCTGAAATATAATCTGTTGCTGTGATATGGCCATGATGTCAGCAGAGCAGGACTCTGCCCCAGGCAGACTTAGAGCTCTTGCCACAGGGTTGTGGACAAGTGTGAATTCTCACCCTCACAAGGTGACGTGTCCCTCTGAGCTGCAGTCTGTAAACAGCTTGCATGCATAAAATCTGTGCCTCCAATTGCACCAACTAAACAACAGCAATAAGACAAAAATAAAGCAAGTGTAGGCTTGTGATGAATAAATAAGTTTGCTAGAAACAGGAGAGCAAATGAGTCTGAGGAACAGCTTTCAATAGCAGTCCTGGGAACACAAAGCCTGTCACGTGAAATTGGATGATAAAGCTATAAACAGTGAAGGGATAATAGTTGCCAACAGAGGACTGGATTTAGGGGATGATCTAATCCTATGTCCCATCTTCCTGCACAGTTGAAGAGAGAATACTCTGGTTTAGCCAAAGTTTTCTGAAACTTGTGGGCAAAATTTACAAGTTTTAAACTGTCTTTCTTTCTAATTGAGTTCAGTGTTGATGGGGCCAGAATTTGGTGTCATGACCTCCACCTGTGATTTATTCTACAAAAATAACTTGCATAAATCAATACTTTTCCCAGGTCTGTATTAAATAGAGCCTTCCACATCACAGCTGCTACTGCCATTAAAAGGAAGGCCTGCTGCTTCTCAAAGTTATTCCACATGTCTTGGATGTACTGGGCAGGAAAAAGCAGCAGCCATTCCTGCCCACCTGCCTGCACACAGTCAGGCAATCCCCTGGGGTCTGAGTGGCAGTGCTGGGGGACAGCATGGGGGAATGTGTCACAGGCACCTCCTGTGCTGCAATTCCAGTGTGCAGCAAGCACAGGACTTGGCTGCTGACACCTGCTGTGTCTGTCCCTGTGTGCCACGACAGCTGTGCCTTCTGTGCCTCACCTCACACTGCTCAGAGCATGTATCACACTCTCCTGTTGTGCTGTGAATGGCACATCTTTCTCCTCAGCAACATCCTGCTGTTCTTCCACAGCCTTCTGGAACAGCTGGTGTTTCTGATGGAAGTCAGGCTTTTTATACCTGAACACTGCAGTGCATTCATTTAACAGGAAGCTGCAGAGCTCTCAGTTTGCAACGACAGCCAGTTTTTTGCTTGCAAGGCAAAGGGAAGATGTATGGTTGTGAAAACTTTCCCAAGCACTCTGATTTACTGCTAGTCTTATTGCAAAAGGTATTTGCTAGTAGTGCAGCTCTTTAAAGTTTGCACTAGGGAAACTAATCATTATGTAAAAATTATAAAATTAATGCTCTTATATCAGCAAAACAAATGTAGTTCTTCTCCCTCTGGGCAACTGAGAGGTATATTTGGCTTAGTGGATACTATGAAGTTGTTCATGTAGTCCTTCCATTCCTAGATCCTCTTTTTTCTGCTGTGATGAACTTCTCAAAGGCTGCTTCTGAATTTCACAGGAGACTTGAACAAGTTGACAAGAAAGAGTAAGTCAGAAAAAAAGAATTTTATATATGTATATATTTATGTCCTGGTTTGCCTTAGATGGCCAGAGTGGCAGTTCTTTATTTTTTCTACTACACAAGGATTCTCTCTGATGAATGTAGAACAGAGCTCTGAGCCCTGAGACAGGCAGTATCTTTTAAGATGAATTAGCAGATACAGGAATATTTGTTGTGATTGATAATATGAGCTGTAGAGCTTATTACTAGTATCAGGTTGTCATTAAAATTACTGTAATATGTGGAAAGGCAGGTAGCAATGAAAATTAGATTTGGACTGAGATCTGTTTAGACTACACTTGAGTGTTGTAGGTGATGCCATTTGGAGGGATAGAATGTAAGAGAATAGTGCAGAAGGAAGTCTCACACCTGAGGAATTGCAGCTGTACTAATCACCTAAGATTAAGAACAGGCCTGCCCTTAATAGGCCACAGCTGTGTCCAATAAGAAGAAGAGTGCCACAAAAGAGTGGGTTAGCTGGGTGAGGAGAGTTGGAGCTTGTTGGTTGTGCTGTGAAGAAGGAGTCAGTGCTGCAAGGAGATGCCCATGAGAAATCACTGAGAAGGTATGGGACTTTTGCAATATGATGACAACAATGCCAGAACTTTTACTTTCAGCACACTTCAAAGACAGAGGATGATGATTCAGAATATCTGAGATATCCATATGATGCTTGACAGCCTAAGGCCCCTTGCAGGACTCCTGTGCCCTCTGAGTGCAGTCACTGCAGGCCACATATGGTACCAGTTGTGTTTAGACAGCTGAATCCCATCCTTACTATGTTACTGCATAGATTGGAACAGGACTATGGACATTTGGCTTATGAGTAGACACTAAACTTTAGCTGTCTTCATCTGTGTAAATCTCGGTCTTCTCCATTCTCTTAAATGCTATCTTTCCAGTGCCATTTAATACTAAGCAAGTATCTGACACTCTCAGAAAGTTTCCCATATTTCTTTTGCATAGTGTGAAATGTTGTTTTCTAACACAGAAATATAAATTCATTAATAAAATGTGGATTCAGAATCTCCATTTGCAAAACCTCACCTTTTTCTGTAAACTGTAGACCCACTGGTCTTTTTTTCTTTTTCTATCAAAAAAAAAAAAAAACCAAAAAAAAACCAAAAAACAAAGAGAAGAAAAGTATTTTAAATGAAACTGGGAGGTCCTGTTTCCCTGCTGTGTGACGTTTCTCTGTTTCCCTCTCCTGCAGTTCAGTTGCAGTGCGCATCGTGAATGATCAGCTGATGCTGGTAGAAAGAGCTTTCACTGATCCTCTGGGCTTGCCAGGAAGGAAGTTTTACAGGTGAGGCTGAGAGTTTCTTGACCTGCTGTCCAAGGCACCCTATTTTTGCAGCTGACCGGTCAGTTGAATTGCTGTATGGGTCTCGCAGCAATTACAGTTCAACACTTTGCTTTAAGTACAATTCAGCAAGTAGTGGACTTTGTTTATAATCCTTAAGGAGAACTACTTGGCTACTTCAGTCTTGTGGAGCCAAATTAGTCTCTTTTGGATCTATTTATCAGCTGTGGTTAAACTACAACAGCATTGTACTCTGACTTTTACTTGTAGATGTGCAGTACTACTGCTGTTACAGCTTGCTCTTGTGATCGTCTGCAAAGTGAGGATTGAGTGAAGAATGAATGAACTGTATTGAAAAAAAAAGTGAAAAGAGGGTAGAGTAAATGAGAACAGATATGTAATGAGGGTCAGTAGAAGAGAGAAGCCAAGAAAGGAAAGCTTTGAGAGTTTGGAGAGGGAGGGACCTTTCAGCACAGGATAAAGGCCTGTGAACTGTGCTGGAGAGCCCCATCTGTCCCAGTTTTGGCTGCTTCTGTAGGTGCTCCAAAAGGTTAAACCACTAACTACTACATCCTTTCTAGAAACCCAGAGGTTTTATTAGGAATACCTGACAAGATGCCAGCTTTCAGTGTCAGGGGTGTAAGTACCTCACTTTGCTTTCAGTATCCCCCTTTTCCTAACAACTGGATATGTCTGACTCACTGATGGATGGCTTTCATGCCATGCCAGAAGTCTTTCAGGCAGGTAGAACTGGAATCACACTTCCATACTCCTTGGATAAACTGTCATTCACACTTTGAGAAGAATGAAGTAATTTCTTTCAAGAAATTTTCTGTTGGGTGTTGGGTATCATTTGGAGCTGTATGGGGTTTTTTTTTAATTAGTTCTTACTTGCTTGCATTTATTAATGTAATTTTAATGTTTCTTTTCATTTGGAAGGACTTTTTCACATGGTGTAAATGTGCTTTGATACTTCATAGTTAAAATAAATTTAATTGCAGATCTACAGCTATTATTTAGGAAAAAGAACTATACCAAAAAATAAGATTGATATTTTGTGCAGTTCTGATCCATTATGACCACTATTCAATAATTCATGCTTTTCTCAAGAATTTGCCCACAGTCTTTTTTTCTCCCTCCTTTTAAATTCCTTTCCCAGGTAAGTAATCTGCTGACCATCATGCAGCTACTTAGCTGTTTTTTCAGGTTTCTACTCCATTTCTCACAACACACCTATAACTAGTTTTATTCATATAGTACACATACAATGAACACACACCCCATTAATAATTTCTTTTATTCAGGATAATTGCCTTTTTCTTCTTTTCCCACAGACATGTTATCTTTGCTCCAAGCAGCCACAACAAATATGCAGGAGAATCCTTCCCAGGAATCTATGATGCCATGTTTGATATTGAAAGCAAAGCTGATCAACGTGAAGCCTGGGAAGAAGTGAAGAGGCAGATTTCCATTGCAGCCTTCACTGTGCAGGCAGCAGCAGACACACTGAAGGAAGTAGCATAAGATGAAGGCTTTGAAAACTCCCACAGCAGAGTGTGGCACACGGAGCTGTCAGGCTGCTGCAGTGTCCCAGTGTCCCTGACTGCCTGCCCTGCCTGAGTCTCCAGCCTCCCAAACCACATGGCAGGTGAGCAGAGCTCTGTGCGTCAGAGAACTCCTGAGCTAGGAGTTGCTGCATCTCTGCTACTCACAGAACTGTAGCTTCATGAACAACCCTGGGTGGAAGCAAATTTGGGTGTCGGGAGAAGTGGGAAGGGGGGAAAACAGGAACAATCAGTTTCTGATTAGAATTTTCTGAGAGATCTACCAGCTTTGAGGACCCAATGTTTTGGATGTAAAGTTATTGAAACAATTATTTGCCAAGCTACCTGCAAATTTTGTCCACAGCAGTGATCAACAGCACACATTTTGATGGAAAAAACATAATACTCAGCCTGTATGTCTTGTTCTGATACTTTTATAATTAAAAGGCATCTCTGCATATCAGAATCTATTCTGCAGGACCGGTGAATGCTCTTTACACTGATTTGCTTTCTTTTCCTTGAAAAAAATAAATAAGTGACTCTCCTACTGCTTGCCAAAGCATTACTGGCCATTCTTGATAATCAAGGAAAACAGCTGCTTATGTGCAGAAATCCAAAAGCACGCTTTCAGTGGAGTGCACATCCCTCCCTCTGAAAGTCTCTGTGCATCTCCCTCCTTTGGAAAAGTGCAAGTCTCTCTCCCTGCTCTTTTTGGCACCTTCTCTAGTTCTGAACCCATGGCATTTTGTTCCTATTTTCTCCCAGGCAATCTACTTCATATTTTTTCATCTGAAGGAGCTGGAGGACATTTACTATTAGCATGGAGCTTGAGATAATTCTGTCTTCAAGTAAGACCTGAATGACATTTCCCAGTAGGAGCTGATTTTACATTCAAAGAGGCACTGAAATGCTTGAGAAGGCCAGTTATACAAAACTGTTTAGTTTGTATAAAAAGAAAAAAAAAATTAAGATTTCTTGCTTCATTTGCCCTTTAGGTGTAATTTTCATCTACATGCTTTAAAACTAATAAAATTGCTAGAATTTTACTGAATTAAATTCCAGCTTGTGGAAACTGACATTAGCCAATTTCATCTCTTATGTAAAATATACTACACTTTTTCTCACTACCATAAATTGCACCATGTTGTAGGAATAAAATCCTAGTTTTATGGGGAATAGAACAGATGTGGCTCTAAAAAGGAGAGAATTAGAAAAGCAGGCCAGAGTTGCTGTTGTCATCTCAGATGCCTTGAATTCAAACACGAGAACAAGAAATAACTTGTGGGAAGTTGTTTTGGGGGATATATGCCACCAAGAAGAGAGGCTTTCACTGGCATCGCCTCCAATATGCCTCTGTGAAAGATGAAGGATTGTGTGCTTGTGGATGTTTTTCTCATACTTTACTGCTCAATTGCTTTTCACAGATCAAACCTTAGGCACATGAGGAGGAAATTACACTTCCACAGTCCATGCTTTACCACTTCTGTTGGGAAATGGAGTGCAAAACTGACCTTGCTAGCACACACATGAGACAGGAGTAGCTGATGCTGGGGCACAGAACAGGTGATTCTTTCCCTCTCCTCTGACATGGCTCCACCTGGAGCCTGTTTCCAGCCCTGAGGCCCCAGCATAACAGCCATGTGGGCCTATTGGAGCAAGTCCAGAGGAGGCTATGAAGATGATCAAAGGGCTGGAGTATCTCTCTCATGAGTACAAGATTGAGATGGCTATGGTTGTTCAGGCTCCGAAATGGCAGGCTCTGGAAAGACATTATTTACAGCCTTTGAGTAGCTAAAGAAGGCTGAAGAGGGATTATTTGCAGGGGAGTGTAGTGATAGGACAAGGGGGGAGGCTTCAAACTGGAAGAAGGTGGGTTTAGAGTAGAAGAAATTCTTTACTGTGAGGGTGATGAGGCACTGACACAGGTTGCCCAAAGAAGGTGTGGACGCCCCATCCCTGGAGGTGTTCAAGACCAGGCTGGAAGGAGCTCTGAGCAACCTGAGGTCCAGTGGAAGGCACCTCTGCCCATGGCAGAGGTGCTGGAACTAGAGGACCTTTAGGGTCCCTTCCAACCTAAACCATTCTATGATCCTATGAACAGTGGATACATTTTTGTTGTTCTCTTTACTTTTACCTAACTGGGGACACTCACAGTTTTCATCTCATCTGCAGCTGAACTTACTGCTTAAGAATATCTTGCAAAGATGTGACTGGTACATAACTGCACTGGGTTTTTCTTCCCTTTCTTTGAATCGTGTGCCCTTTCTGCTCCATCATAACTCTACATTAACTGCAATGGGCAGTACTGAGTGTGCCTCCAAGGGAGGGTTAGGATATCTAGATGGTAGAAAAAAGCCATGAGTGCCTCTTCCTCATGAGCAGCAGCCAACTTTGGATCTGCCACTGGTTGCTGCTGAAGGATCATCAGAGTATAAGGCAAACAAGGAGCTTCCACATTGTAAGGAAATATTTGTTGAAACTTTCTTCTTCCTTCATTTACAGAAATGTATAAACCAGTGAACAAATGTTTCACCAGCAAACATAACTCTTTCAGTGGTAGCTAGCCTTTGAAGTTCTGTACTATTACCTTGCTGCTGCAAAAGAGCATACACTCTCTCCTTGCTTCCCTGTGCAGTTTGAAGCTGTAAGAATAAATTACAGCTCACAGCAGGCTCAATGCACAGCTGGCATTGATTGCTTTGTTCCTCTTGTCAACTTAATTGATAACTGTGTGAATGCGAGATTCATCATGACCAGCTACATCCTGAGAAGTACACAAAATATATTAAATCTATTTCCATTCCTGTCTTTAAAGTTCTACTGAGGCAGTGATATCCAAACCCTTAAAATAAGGAAACCAAACCACTTATAAATTGCTTATACTAACTAAATTCCATAAAATCCCTTATTCTTGGTATTTTAAGGATCAGTTACTCAGACCTCCAATTGTCTTTCCTTCCTCAATGAGTAGAATCTTAAGTTTTATAGATAAGCAAACAAGACTCTGTTGCTCTCCCCCAGTGCAAAGTGTAGCTCTGCTTTCCCATAATTTTAAAGTATGAGAAGGGAATTTTTCATAATCTTTACACATGGGTAACACTATCCTTCCCCAGTTCCAGTTGCCCAGTTGCTTCACTCAGCCTGGCTGAAACAATCAGTGAATCCTACGAAGGGGAGAAACTGACCCTTCAGCCTAGTAGACTGGAGCTGCAAAACAATCGGGCAAAATTAAACTTGGATGGATCAAGTATCACTTGGATATCTGGGTTGTCAATTTCCTCTTTAGAAAATCAGTTCCAAAGGGACAGTGCCTGGAAGTTTATTTCTGCTTGGAAACAAACTTTTTAGCAGGACCTGTTGCATTAGTCCATGAGGTAATAAACTGGAGAAGAGTCAATTTAGATTAGATACAAGTTGGATTTTTACAATGCAGGTGTGGAAATACCAGAACAAGTCGCCCAGATTGATGGTAGACACCCCATCCCTGGAAACATGCAGGATCAGAGCTCTGAATAACCTGATCTAGCTGAAGATGGCAATGGGATTGGACTAGATAGCATTTAAAGATCCCTTTCAACCCAAACCTTTGATCCTATGATTGAGATTCTCTTATGATTGAAATACCTTTGCCTTGACTTTGGAAAGAAATCTGTAACCTTAGGTGCTGGAATCTTCAGGTGACACTCTGTCAGACTCCTCTGGGGATCCCTCTCTGCAGCTGGCAGAAATTGGACATGCATGACCTGTTCCTCTCTAAATTCCCCTAGTTTTATTCATAGGATTTCAGTGTACAGTTAACAGTGCTACTGAAAAAGCTGACTTATGGTGAACATCAGGAACTTCCCTATGGCAGAGCAGAGAAGATAACACTAATTAAATGAAATGCAGAAATCTTGCTTCTGCTGTTCAGAGCAGAACCAAAGTGTTCTGTTCCTCAAAGAACAGCACCTGCTCATATAAAGTGTCCTTAGAGAAACCAGCAGGAGCTGAATTTAGCAAGTAGTCTTTGTTAAGGTAAAAGATTGCTCCCATTACACCACTGAGACTTGTGCCAGTTAGAATCTATAAGGTCAAGGATGCTTCTGTCAGCATCAACAGTGCTTCTCCTGATGGATGCTGCACCCTTAAACATCTTCTTCAGCTCAGGGAGCTCAAGGAATCTAGGAGGAGTAAGAGTGCTTTGTTAGGCACCTCATGCAGGAGGAGCTGGACCTGGTTCAATTAAACTCCAAACATGTTCCAACCTTTCATTAAGGGAAAGAACAGGAGAGGCAATAATAGAAAAACATTTCACAGCAGGGTATCGGATAAGAATAGACTTGCTAAGTTTACATGGCACCTTCCCCAGATGTGCTTTGCTAGCCTGCTGACAGTGCAGCTGACATGTTCCTGATGCTGCCATCCATACTACTTCCAAACTTGGCTGTACTCTTAGAAGGAAACCCAAGTCACAGTTGCTGGACACAGTGACGGTTGTGACAACACACCCTTATGTAACCCCTAAGAAGCATGAGTCCAGGCAGAGGAAACATGGCCAGCTGTGAACACTGAGCACTGAAAGATTTAGATCTGAGGTCACTCATCCCTTCAGATATTTCTGCAACCACCACCCCCCTACTGAAGCATTGCTTTTGTTTTCTCAGCTCTGTCTCCTAAACCATATTTCCTTACTCTCCACCAGAGCCTGCATGCCTGGACAGCACCTGCCCGCACTAAAGCTCTCTTCAGTTTACAGCACACACCATATTATCCTGGCACTACCCTTACAGGAGTGTGGGTACTGACAGCAGTGATAGTGCTGTCCACTGCCATGGCAGAAGAGTCACACATAAGCATCCTGCCAATCTTATTACAAGCAGAAAGAAATACACTTTGTAACTAAAGACAGAGTCGTTGTTGGAATGCTGGAAATCTTAACTGTGTGATTGAAGAATGATTAATTTCTATTATTAAAGAAAAAAAAAAGAAATTATAGTACAAACCTTTCAATGGAAAAGCAGTTATATTTATAAGCTGTTTCTCTTCCTGGGATCTCCATTACCCAGCAGCGCCCCTTCTCCAATCATCCCATATCAGTAGTCCTCTACACCACATCCCGTGCCTCAGTTTTCAAGGCCCCTGCATGTATCCCTCTGCAACAGGGCACTAGAGTCAGCAGTATGTTGCTCTACACAGTAAACCTGCTTTTAAAAGTAAAACTACTTTTAAAAGTAAAACATAGTAAAACTACTGTTCTAGTAGTTATTTAAAAAAAAAAGTCTATAACAAGCAACTACAGAATGAGAAACAAGGTAAACCAAGTAACACAAGAGCCACCTGGACATGGGAAAAGTTTTAACAGCCAAACAAGCCAGAACAAAGCTGCAGGCAGGTTAAAAGAAGATCAGACAAAGCAAGCCTGGCAGGTTCTGGAACCCTGCAGAGCTGGAATGAAGCTTCTGCCACGCTACCAGCCACAGGAATCCTGTGTTCATTGGACTGTCAGCAGAGATTGGCAGCTGGGGACTATGTGGGGGAGGGTCCCAAGTTTTTTTAAGAAAAATCATT